ATGTACAAGAACTTCGCTTCTTAGATGACGAAGCGCCAGACCCTTTGAACCACAAAGGAAACTACTGACTCAGCCATAGTCTCCTCGATCGAGCAGCACAAGCTATGGGAAACAATACCCCACCCATGGTCATTATGTATACAAAAATAAGCACAAGAACAAATAGCTCAACTAATATATCATATTCTCAGTAAACAAAAGCTTAATTGTTTGCTGTCTCAGTAAACAAACACCACATACAATCACAAATTCGCACCAATAAACTCTAAGAAAATCGATATTGTTGAGCTATACATACCCAAACAAAAGAGCCAAAATGTTTTCTAACATCCGTATGATGATATATTGTTTTGTAAGAGTCGTGTTGCCCAAACCACCCATACCCCATATAGAAAAAACTCGGTGGTTGAATTCTTCCTTCACCAAATGCATGACCAATTCTTCCACACTATCCTATAACCCAACAACATCCCGTTCTACAATATGAGAATAGGTGCGTCTTAGTTGTTGCTGCCTCTCGTACAAAGAAGTGGCACCTCCGATTTCCCTAATATTATAGCTATACAAGCTTGGCCTTAAAGTAGAGAGATGGGCAGTAATCATCTGAATTTCCGACCCAATGTTGTGAAGATCGATTCCTTCTTTCACCACACAAACAAATCTTCTCAGAAAATTCTTAACCCCTCTTTGACGCTTGTTAGACACTTTCAAAAAAAAAAAAATTTCTACAACATCCTCCAAATCATATGCAGTGTCTCTTACTTTTGCGACCACAACAAGCACTGTTGCATCCTCTCATTGCCTTATATCTGCATCGTTTAGAAAACCCTAGCTCAACTGCAACTCAGTTTGTGCAGACTCAATTTGATTGCCGAATAGGTACAAGAACTTCGCTTCTTGGATGACGAAGCGCCAGACCCTTTGAACCACAAAGGACACTACTGACTCAGCTATAGTCTCTTCGATCGAGCAGCACAAGCTATGGGAAACAATACCCCACCCACGGTCATTATGTATACAAAAATAAGCAGAAGAACAAATAGCTCAACTAATATATCATATTCTCAGTGAACAAAAACTTAATTGTTTGCTGTCTCAGTAAACAAACACCACATACAAGCACAAATTCGCACCAATAAAACTCTAAGAAAATTGATATTGTTGAGCTATACATACCCAAACAAAAGAGCCAAAATGTTTTCTAACATCCATATGATGATATATTGTTTTGCAAGAGTCGTCTTGCCCAAACCACCCATACCCCATATAGAAAAAACTCGGTGGCTGAATTCTTCCTTCACCAAATGCATGACCAATTCTTCCACACGAATATCCTCTAACCCAACAACATCCTGTTCTATAATATGAGAATAGGTGCGTCTTAGTTGTTGCTGCCTCTCGTACAAAGAAGTGGCACCTCCGATTTCCCTAATATTATAGCTATACAAGCTTGGCCTTAAAGTAGAGAGATGGGCAGTAATCATCTGAATTTCCGACCCAATGTTGTGAAGATCGATTCCTTCTTTCACCACACAAACAAATCTTCTCATAAAATTCTTAACCCAAGGTCATTTTAGTAACCATTGTAAAGTTGTGTGAACCTTAATTTATTTAGGCTTAATATCAAAAAACGTCCCTAAGGTTTATGAAACTATCATATTGCATCCCTAATTTTTATTTTTTTTTGTCATTCGTGGTCCTCAATTTTAGTATGTATGATCATAAATTGTCACTGCCGTTAGGTTCCGTCAACAACTCCGTTAATTTGCTGACGTGACATATATATCACAAAACATCCTTAAGGTTCACGTACCTATCACAAATGGTCCCTGCGAAATTTTTTTATTTTTTCATTTAAAATTCATGAAATTTTGGTTTTCCTTTTTAAATTATTTAAAAATATATATTGTATTTTAAATACACATAACACTATATTATTGGAGATGTGGGCTCCACATATATGCCACATCAACAAACTAATGGAGTTTAAAAATAATTTAAAATTCATAAAATTTAAAAATGAAAAAACCAAGGATTTAGGGTTCATAAATGGTCCTCAAGGTTAAAATCCTTCTATAAATGGTTTTTTCATTTTTAAATTTTAGGCTTAATATCACAAAACGTCCTTAAGGTTTACGAAACTATTAGATTGCATCCTTAATGTTTTTTTGTGTCACTCACGGTCCTCAAGGTTAATATGTGCGATCACAAATGGTCCCTGCCATTAGGTTCCGTCAAAAACTCTATTAATTTGCTGACGCCACATATATATATATATATCACAAAACATCCATGAGGTTCACACACCTATCAGAAATGGTTCGTACGAAATTTTTTAATTTTTTAATTTAAAATTCATAAAATTTTGGTTTTCTTTTTTAAGTTATTTATAAATGCAAAAACCATTTATAGAAGGATTTTAATCTTGAGGACCATTAATGAACCCTAAACCCTTAGTTTTTTCATTTTTAAATTTTATGATCACACATACTAACGGAACCTAACGGCAGGGACCATTTCTGATCACACATACTAACTTTGAAGACCACGAATGACACGAAAAAACGTTAAGGATGCAATATAATAATTTCGTAAACCTTAGGAACGTTTTGTGATAATAAGCCTAAATTTTATGAATTTTAAATTATTTTTAAAAAACTTCATTAGTTTGTTGATGTGGTATATATTTGAAGCCCACATCTTCAAAAATGTAGTTTCATGTGTATTTAAAATACAATATATATTTTTAAATAATTTTAAAAAGAAAACCAAAATTTTATGAATTTTAAAATGAAAAAAAAAAATTCGCAAGGACCATTTGTGATAGGTGTGTGAACCTCAAGGATGTTTTGCGATTGTGGGGGCCTTTTCATTCCAGCAGCTACAAATGGGCTGGGCTGCCGTAAGGAGCAAATGGGTGAAATTACCCCCTATGTCTGAGTTCAAAGATCAAGCCCCAAGAATATTTTGAAAGGGTAGTGCAGCCTTAGGAAACACCTTGGTTACCTTCACCAACGAAAATAACAACACTTACAGATAGATTTTCTAGCTCAGCATGAGAAGCTTATGGCATGAGAGCAAAACCATCATGAGTTTAGCATAAACAGAGAGAGGGCTATGAATTCCTATGAGAAACAGAGGTTTTAAGACAAGGGGGAATGGATTCTAAGAGGATTTAAAAAATAAGCCCTTCGCTAAATTGAGAACACGCGACTTCGTTAGTGAAGGAATAGTGGTGGTCATTTTTCTTTGATAAGTAGGGCATATTGGCTTGTTTGGATCTGTGTGGGTTTAAATGTTTCAATTGTTTCCATTGATATGTAACAGGGAAAAAAGGATGACTTATAAAAAGTAAAACTCTGAAATTAACTAGCCTTGGCCTAGGCTAGAGTGCATAAATGAATGGAAACAGAACTCACGGGTTATCAGAGAGACTTATGACTTAAATGAAGCTTATTGGATATCTGAGTTTTCCTTCACCAATCCAAAGTTCTCCTCAACTTTTGGTAATAGTTTCTCAGGAAAAGAAATGTACTGCAATACTGATGGGGCATACAGGAAGTGTGAAATCTCTCTGTCCTCATCCAACTAATCCTGGTAGGTGTAGATTTTCATCTATATGTGGGTTTTCTCACTCTTTTTTTTTTCATATGCTATTTTTGTGAAAGAACTAATGAGAATACAACTAATTTAAACCACTGCTTCTTCTTATCTGACAAAGATTATTGTCTCTGTGGTTCGAGAGATGGCTCCTTTGTTCTTTGGGATTTCGCCACTAAGTAAAAAATTATTAAATTAGGCTTAACATGTGATATAATTTCTGAGATGTTTGGTCCCTATGGAGACATCCCATTAAAAGTGAGAACTCTAATTCCCTGAAGGGTTAGAAAATTTCTGGGGTGGGAATTCAAATACGGAGTGAAGATAATGAAAATGAAACTAACTATATAATAGAAAATCCAACGAAGATCAGTCAGCCAAGTACTTATTTCCTCTGTTATATTGCAGTTTTTGGATCATATTGGATTATTACAGTGAAGCTATTTATGGTTGGTTGTAGAGGTGTTTTGTTGTGACTGCTTGAATCATTGAATGGGCTTGAAGGCCAAGTTGGTTAGTGAAATTTTAGTTTCTCCATTGCTCTATTTGGCATAGTAAAATCACTTACTCAAAAACCTACCTAGCTCTATATATGGCTCACTAATTACTAGTCATGCCTAACACTAGTCTGCAGATCATGGTGTTTTGTTTTTCTGGTGTTCTTGTGAACTTCTTGGCCACTCTTGTTTATGTTCTTCTGTATTTTTTGCTTTTCCTGGAATAAAAGTTCTTTTTTTTATTTTTTATAAATGAAGTTGGATCATGGTATTCAAACAGGACTTGTTGGAGGCACACCTACTGTAAGGATATCATCATAGGCGTATTGTGGATGGTGAGTGGTCTCTGTCACTGTGGTTTGATTACACATGGACTAAGAATCTTGTTATGTTAATAACATTGTTCTGTTTAGATTCAAAAGATTTTGTTTTGTTATTCTTGGGGTTGAAAATTTACCTCGTTGACCCTATAATAAATTTGTTTTTTTAATTGTATTCCTTGCGGATATTATTGCAATGCCTTGTTGAGAACTTGCTTGTCAGTTGAGAGATTGCAGGTATGGTTATGTAATTAAAGGAATGGTTGTGTTATAATATTAAACTGAATTATTGATCTCTAATCTACAATTGATTTTGAGTATGACTGAAAAGATTATTGGGCAATTAGTGTCTGGATGGTTGTGTTATAATATGAAATCTGATTTTTGTTAATGAACTACTCAAGAATATGATCTTTCATATATGGATTTTGGAAAATTCTTGTGTTGGTTGAGTTATACAATGAAATCTCAATTTATCTTGAATATGAACTGCTCACCAATATGATTTTGCAAATCTGTATATTGGGCAATTTGAAGTGATATCTTATGCAAATTTAGTACCTTACACTTTTTGATCTTATGTTCATATTCCAGTTGTGGAAACTTCTAAGGCTGAAAAATAATCAACACCAAATTCATTGTTATATTAGCAACTTTGCATTGTAAAAGTGAATAATTTACACTAATCGCTTGTCTAAAATAAAATGTTCATTTTTTTTCAAACAATTTTTACACTATCAGTTTATGATTTTACTCAACGTATGCTAGATATATCAGCAACAAAAGAAAATAAAACACTTATGCTAGATAATTGACAAAACTAATATAATGAAAATTGCACCAAGTTTAATAACTTGGAACACAAAAATTACTTTGAGATGGGTTTTAACTTTTGAAGTTGGCTCACTTAAAGATGCGAAAATACGAAGGAGAAGCAAGAAGCGACTAGTCGCTTCTTTCAAAAACAATCGGTCACATAATCCTGAGAGCAGAGGTCGCGATGCTGGAGAGAAGTTGGGAGGTTCTGTGCAAACCGACCGGTCGCAAGTATTGGGCAAACCAGTCATCGCATGTTTTCCTGCTCGGCGTGATTGGCATTTTGCTAGCCTATTTAAGCTAGGTTAAGTCTTCTATTACTATTAGGTTTGTACTTAAGTCCTATGAACTATAAATAAGCACTTTAGTGCTAGGTTTTCATAACGTGTGAAAACTAAGGCATCAAATTGAGTTTGAGCCAAGGGTGCAAGAAAAGAGAGCTAGAGTTTGTGAGAGAGCAAAGGGGGTTATTCATTGTAACCACAAAGCCGAACCTCTATAAATTCTTGTGTTCTTTGTGTGTGTGTGTGTTTACTTTTCAGTTTGAGTGTGTGCTTTATCTTTGCATGGCTTGTGTGTGATAGTTGCGTAATCCATCAACAACAATGTATTGAAGTGTTTTCGCACAACATTAACTTCCCGAAAATAAAAAAAAATGGATTCAGCGGACAAGTATTAGATTCATTTTTCATTTTCTAAATGATAAGGTAATCAAAACCCGTACTCTTTTATCGATAAAAAATAATTAGCAATACTTAAATAACTATAATTTATTGATAAACTTGTTTTAACAAATGACAAAATTATAATTATAATCTGGGAGTTTATACTTCAATTTGGTGGCGTTAATTTGTTTCAATGTTTGTTTCCAAAGTGAAAATGGCTATAGTTAAGAATATTCGATATGGAGATAAGACAGAAAATATAAGGTTCTTACAGCAAAGTTCTTATGAAGAATCCCGTGTGCTATGTAATTTGCCAGATAATCATATAACATTTATCGTTCACCAAAAACAAAATGTTCTTAACGCTTGGAAAACACAAAGTCTGAAAAATGATTGTTTTTTTTTTTTTTGAGTGTTTCTAATTTCCCCCTGTCTTATTTCTCCGCCCATCTTGTCTTCAAAATTTTAAAGCCAAATTTACCCCTATATAAAATGACTTCTAAAGACTTGGAAAAAGAACATTAAACATTAAAACTAATTAAAAACAACTAAAAATATTATTTAAAAAATATCAAAACCCTTCCCGCACATCACGCATACCCCACCCTCCTCCATCCTCCCTCATCCTCCACCGCACGGTAGCCATTTTTATTATAATCAATTTATTAATATTATAAACAATAGTAGCTCGTTCGGGTTTTCATTTTTATATTATAAATCTTTTTCTTATTTTTAATTAGTTTTTAAAATGTTTTATTAATATTATAATCAATTTAAGTTTAAGAAGATGGGTCCCACATATGTCATCTCATCATTTAGTACTAAATTATAATTAAAGGGTATTTTAGGAATAATGGTGGGTGGAAAAATAGAATTGTGTTTTTTCAACTGGTGGGTGGGAAGATAAGCTGAGTGGGGAAATAAGACAGGTTGGTGGAAATAGAAGCAATTTTTTTTGTCTTTCTCAAATGTAGTGTCGAATGGAATATGAAAAGTTCTTATCTATTGCGTTTAATTGACAAATATGAAATTAAAGTAGAGACAAAAGATTGGGATGAGAGAATACTTATGCCTTCTCTTCCAAAGATTGCTATCTTCTCAAAAAGTTCCCAGCTTTCATCGTTATTTAATGGGTGAGGTTGGTGGATGAATCCATTTGAATGTAAAGCTACCTCTTTGTTGCGAGTGGTGAGTAATATTCTGCTTTCTGTTTCCTCACCATACAATGGAAATGCAGCTTTCAGTGACTCCCATGCCTCGATGCTCCAAATATCGTCAAGGACTACCAAACATCTACTTTTTTGTTGTAGAAGATAAATCCTCTTGGCTATTTCATTATCCTTCTGTTTTGCAATTTCTTCTCTTTGCACAGTGGTAGCAGAAATAAGTTTAATTAAAATTTCTTCCCAAACAGATCTCACTTGGCATTGTTGAGATATACATACCCAAACAAAGCAACCAAAATGGCGTCTAACTTTATTATGACGATAAATTTGTTTTGCAAGGGTGGTCTTTCCCAGACCACCCATACCCCAGATAGAAACAATTCGGTGGCTAAATTCTTTCTTCACCAAATGCCTGACCAATTCTTCCGCACTATTCTCTAACCCAACAACATCACGTTCAATAATATGAGAATAAGTTCGCCTTACTTGCTGCTGCCTCTCATACAAAGAAATGGCACCTCTAGAGTTCCTTATTTCCTTAATGTTATAAGTTTGCAAGCTTGACCTCAAATTAGAAAGTTGGGTGGTAACATTCTCAATTTGTGACCCAATCTTGTGAAGATCAACTCCTTCCTTTAACACGCAACCAAACCTTTTCAGAACATTCTTCATGCCTCCTTGTTTCTTTGTAGCCACTCTCAAGATAAATATTTCTATGACATCCTCTAGATCATAAGCAGCCTTTCTTATTTGTGCAACCCAAACACGTACCATTTCATCATCTTGTTGCCTTACATCTGCATCTTTCAGAAAACCCTGCATGAGTTGCAGCTCAGTTTGTGCAAACTCAACTTTTTCACTGACTCCAAACAAGAACTTCGCATCTTGGATGATGAATTCTCCAAGTCTTTCAATCACAAAGGAAACTACTGCTTCAGTCATATTTTCTTCAAGCACACAAGGAAAACAACTTGCTGAGAAGAAGACATCACATGACATAATCATTATATCAGACAACACAATCACTACTAAAAAAACACACACTAGCCACTACTATGAATTTGTCCCCCAAGTTGATTTTAGAGATAATAAATTGTCTTCATTAACCAATAGAGACTATGCAGCGACTATTTTTATATCAGTATCCTAGTTTGAGTTTGCTATTGCTTATTGGGTACCATTTATTGGCTCAGTCCTTCCCTATTTTCCATTAAAGATATACCTTTTTAAGATACAAGCCATTTAAGTTAAGCCAAGCCACGTTGAATGGCTCCAAACTTGGGATATGATATTTGGGGTTTCCATTGATTATAAGAAACTATTAAATCTTTGCAAGTGCCTATTGAAAAGGCACCATTACTTATTCGTGCCAAAGTGAACAACAATTGTTATAAATAAATAAATAAATAAATAAAAAGACATCGTTTTGAGGTGCCAATTCATCTTTATAATTAATAATATATTTAATACTAGAAGCATATGTTCCCACCAACACTTTTCTAATAGTTTTATGTTCTCTGTTTTTTATCTCTTTTTTCTATAACTCAAAATCAACCAATAGACCCAAATGAAAATGAAAAATTAAGGATTAACTACACTTTAGTCCCTGGAGGTTTAGTGTCAGTATTGAAATGGGCCCCAAGGATTCAATTCAATCAATTTCATACCCAACATTTCAAAGTATTACCAATTTACACCCGCCGTTACATTGACCGTCAAAGTCAGACGTTAAATGCTGACGTGGCAGTCGTGGGACCCACCTCATAACCAAACAGCAGTTAGAAAAAGACCAATATAGGACAAATAATATTAAAAAATTCTTTATTTTTAAAGTTAATTAAAATCATTTTTTTTTTTAAAAAAAAAACATAATTAAAAAACCCTATTGTTAACCTTTTTAATACATAATTATTCCAAAGTTAACCTTTTAAAAATCAATAATATTGTTAAAATCAATAATAATAATACATAATATTGATTTTAAAAAACCCTATTGTCAAACCTAAATCCAAACCCAGATCTTCACCACCCATCCTTCTTCCTCTTCCTTCATCTCTCCACCCATCAAACCCTAAATCCAAACCCAGCATCTCCACCACCCATCCTTCTTCTTCCTCCTCCTTCTCTTCCAACATCCCCACCTTCGTTCATCACCCACCACCCACCACCCACCACCTCATTCTCCCTCAGTCCTCTCCTCCTAGCCCCAACCAATACCAGAGCCCTAGCCAATAGATCTGAGGAGGAGATCTGCGCGTCGTCGGAGACGTATGGCAGATTCGGCATATGGGTTCGCGATGACGTCGCTTAGTTTTCAAGGTTGACGATGACCCAACCACCTGGGTTTTCGAGGTCGACAAAGACCTCTCGATTGCCCAGAAATTCGCACCTCCTGATTGCCCCTCCCGATTGCCCATCGCACCTCCCAATCACCCGGAAATTTCTAGCCACTTGCATATCTGGGTATGGGGCTTGGTGGTGGGAATATGGGTGTATTAGCATAACTGGATCGAACCAGATGTAAGAGAGAGAGAGAGAGAGACTAAGAGGGGCGGAGATATTTCAGAGGAGGAGGGAAAGGGGATGGGGCTGGGGCGGGGCTGCGTGGAGAGTAAATTCCCAGAGCAGAGTTACAACCCTTAGGCATATGAAGAGATGATGGAATTTTTGAGTAAAAACTCGTTGAACGATGGAGACAAATTCTGTGCCAACTTGATGCGTAAATCTTCCAGGCATAACGCTCTGAGTATATTCATTTCATTTTATTAAATTGTTTTTTTGAAAGATAAGGAGGAGGAAGAAGAAGGGTGGGTGGTGGAGATGCTGGGTTTGGATTTAGGGTTTGATGGGTGGAGAGAAGAAGGAAGAAGGATGGTGGTGGAGATGCTGGGGTTTGACGGGTGGGGAGTTTGAAGGGTTTTTTAATTATGTTTTTTTTTTTTGGTTTTAAATAATTGATTTTAATTAACTTTAAAAATAAATAATTTTTTAATATTATTTGTCCCATATTGGTCTCTTTCTAACTACTGTTTGGTTATGAGGAGGGTCCCACGACTGCCACGTCAGCATTTAACGTCTGACTTTGACGGTCAATTTAACGGCGGGTGTAAATTGGTAATACTTGAAAATGTCGGGTATGAAATTGATTGAATTGAAACCTTGGGGCCTATTTCGATACTGACACTAAACCTCCAAGGACTAAAGTGTAGTTAATCCAAAAATTAAATACATAAAGACTATATAATGTTCTCTGCAAACACGGCTATAATGTTCTCCACAAGCACTCCTCTCTAAATAGTTGATGAAGCAATCAGACCCAATTCCTCTTCTCAAATATAGAACAAAATTACAAGATACCATGAAAAATATACAGATGGAACCCATAATCTGAAATCATAAATTGCTATATAAAAAAAATAAAAATAAAGATCAAGGATAGATTGAGATTATTACCTTGATTGGAAGAGCAAACAACCTTGTAAGATTGAAAGGCAGGGAGAAGCGAGAATCTGAAAACCAAAGATGAGGTATGGTTCCATCAGATCAAAAAGATTACTAATCCAAAAGGCAGAAATGGAAAACCCATCATATAAAAAATTGGAGATAAAAAAGATAACCAGACTGATTCAATCAAATAAAAGACACTGAAAACCCATTAGTATTCTCAACGAAATATAATGAAAAAGATAACCATATGATGGAAGATCTACCTAGATCCAACAACTACACCTCCACATAAAATAGATCCAAAGGAGATCTACCTAGATCTACCACCAAACTCCAAAGTTTCAACAACACATACAACAAGGGTCCAAAGGTGGGAGATCTAGCCAAAATCTGAACAGGAGGCTGAGAAGCAGCCCCAAAAAACTAGGGTTGAGACACGGAGAAGAAGAGGCAGGCAAGGATCTAGCTCTTTTTTGGACTAGTTTTCGAAAGGTATATATGAAAATATGAAAATATCACTTTGTTCGGGAACGTATTGCCGCCGGCACTCACTGTGTTCAAATCTTGCCTTCTGCTGAACAGTTAGCTGATGTTTTTGCCGTGTTCAAATCTTGCCTTCTACTGAACAGTTAGCTGATGTTTTTGCGGGGAAGTGTTGAGAAGACACAATATTCTTGTGCATGTACATGGAGCTGGACCAAAACAACTGCATGTGGTCTTGACTGGTGCAGAATATTTATCAGATTAGTGATATAATATTTTATTCTTAAAGTGTCTACCCACATGTAGATTACTTGTATATAAATATAGTCTGCATCTTGTAAATTGATGTGAGGAATAATAAATCAGGCTCTTCACAACTGAACCAGATTCTCTTTCGTATTTCAGATTGATAAGATTTCTTACCACTGGAAACAATCTCTTCCCTCTTTGTATGTGAAGTCCGATAACCAAAGTGAATGCAAATCGTAGTCAACTTTGTTAGTCTTCGACCACGATCCTTATTATTTGTTTCAATTGTATGACAGCTAATTAACTTGTTAAAGCAATTGCAACTTGCAATTCTATTCTCTTAAATGACTGGACATAATTATCTTATAATCTTCTCCGTGCATTTCCTTTCATAATTTAATAAAAGCTAGTGCAAGCTCCAACTTGATTATGGAGTACTAATTGACCTAAATTTTCTATTTCGTTATGTCCTTTTCTCAATGGATTGATGTAGATGTTCTACTTAATTGCTTCATTTTTAATTTAAGATGCGTACCAAATATTTAAATACTGTTCTGTTTGATTTCTCATTTGTTGATGAATATCAAAGACACATGGCAGCCCTTAGATCTGTGACATGTTACGCACAAGCAAGGCTATATATTACTATAATAGGATTATTTACTCAAATGGTCTTCAAATTTATACCCGAGTTACATTTTAGTTCTTCAATTAAATTATTCGTTTAAATGGTTCACCAACTTTTTATTAATCGGCACACTAGTCCTACCGTTACATTCTGTCAATATTATTGTCAAATTTAGGGGTAAAAGAGTTCAATTAAATAAAATAGTAAATAAATTAAAAACTAAAAATAAAAAATAAAAACAAACAAAAAAACAGAGAGAGAGAGAGAGAGAAGAAGAAGAAGAAGAGGATGTGGGCAGATGGGGAGATGAAGGGGGAGGGGGAAGGGAGGGGTAGGGAGAGACGGATAGGGAGGCAGAGATAGGGATGCAGTTTTTGTTTTTGTTTTAATCTTCTTTTTTCTGAAAAAAAAATTATGGGTTTTCTATAGTTTTGCCCCCTGAGCTATTTGCATATTGTCAATTTAGCCTCTTAATAATTTTTTTGATAAATTAAGGACTCCAATTGTTTAAAAATCGCTAACTGAGGGCCTACCGTCAATTTTTTTTTCAAATTCCATCTAAATTTCCATCCAAATTCAGGGTAAATTCGAAATTTAAAATAAATTAAAATAAATAAATAAAATAAATCCCGACCATCCCAAGCCCTAGCCATCACCACTAATCCCAACTTCCCCCTTCCTGCGATCTCTCCCCAGCCCCATCGCAGCTCCCACCCCATCACCAGCCAAGTCGGCACAACCAAATTAGGCTGCACACGAAGAGCAGTCATTTCCTGCAAGACATACCTAATGCTATCATAGTCCTCGGCCTCACCAAACATCTTACCAAAGACAGAAAATGCAATGGTCTGGTTTCCACCCACTAGCTCTCCCTCTCTCATATAAACTAAGAACCTCCTCAACATTTCCCAATTTGGCATAAACATCTAAAATAGCAGAGTAAGTCACCTCATCAGGCATTAAACCAGCCTTGTACATCCTCTCAAACCACTCCATTGCCTTGTCAAAAAGCTTGGACCTCTTAGCACAAGTAATTATAATGGAGTATGTAATGTTATCAAGTTCAATCTCATTGCTTCCAATATCCTCAGCCAGCTCATCAATAAGTTGAAGTTGCCTCCCAAACCTCAAAGACTTCATTGTGACATTGTAGAATATTGTATCAATGGGAAACAAATTCTGGACCTTCACCTAATTGAAGAAAATTTGGGTTTTCTGCCATGGCTTCAAGCTATTGAGTATCAAAAGCGCATTTTCTCTAGTGGATGGTTGTAAGATTTCTTCAAGAGTAGCCAAGAAAGCACCTTAAGAGGCATCAAAATCATTGAGCTTATGAGCAAACTGCCTGAGATCTCTCACCTGAGGATTGTAAGAGTAAAGGGAACATTTCTGTCTCTGTAGAGAGAGCATAGAGCGTTTGGGCTTGGCGGGGTTCAAACATTTTATCACCAATAACACAAGGAATTGTAAAACTTCCTGGATCTTTTAACTTGGGAGGGAGCTTCCTTTGCAAAACAGCAAAAACCTCTTCCGTTAGTGCAAAGTTTCATGATGTTTGAATTTCCTCTTGTTGGTACAAAGGTCCTTCAAAAACTTTGCATAGCTTGGAATTTGCTTGATTACATCTAAGAGAGGAATGTTGACTTGCACTTTTCTAAAAGTTTCTAGGATGTCCTTGGCATACTGATCTTTCTTGGAGCTCAACAACCTGTGAGAAAAAGGAGCACGTAATATATCTTCATCAGTAGGTTCACAATATACCTTTGCCTTTCTTGCATTTCTTGCAAATACATGTTTGGGGATCCACTCTAATGTAGAAGCCGCTTGTTTATCCTGATCCTTGATAACTCCATCCTTTCCTTGAGGCTTGGTTTCTTTATCAATGTAGGGGTCTTTTTTGGTTATGACAACTCAATGCGAAATTGGGCTGCTGTAAAGAGCTAATTGTTATGCCCCTTTGCCTGAGTTCGAAAAAAAGGCCCCAAAACACTCCGAGAAAATGTGGATTCTCAAGGAATGCTTTGGTTCTTCCCACCAAAAAGGTGATGACTCTGGTAAAAGAACTAGAAAGTTATGCTTGGCTTGAAAGGCTTGTGATGTGGGAGCTAAGTTTCCACAAGTTTAGCAAGAGAGAGAGTAAGGGTTTTTGCTGCTTGGGTTGGAACAAAGACCTTGCAAGAAAATATGGGTGATGGGGTGATATTTGAGGTTTGGAAGGATCTAATCACAGGAAAAAGGTTAAGTCTGGTTTTCTAGGTTTGGAATGGATAAAGCTTAGGGTTTTTTTGGGGTTTCCAGTTGTGGATCCTCTTCCTTTTTATATGCCTTGCGAGCTCACTTCCCCACACGTGTGCACTCTAGTATCAAGCCGGTCTGTCCTGCTCCTCTGGCTTCGAGGTGGTCATTTCCTTTTGGTCGTTTTGCCTCCCAGCTGAGGTGACATGACTTCTTCATTCTATGTAGCTGCCATGTGAGGAGTTATTCTAGGTGTCGGGTAGTTGGTTTCTACGAGAAAAATAGGGTAGTTTGTTTTGCTGCCGTATAGCTTGTTTTGTTGTTGTATAGTTTGCTTTGCTGCCGTATGTTTGTTTTGCTGCTGTATGGGGACTTCACACAGGATATGGGTAGTTGTTGGTGGCGGGATAGATGAGACAACTCTTCTCTCCGCTTACCCATTTAATGACTCCCCCAGTCATGTAATTAAGTGGCTTGGGCCCACTTAAGCTTGTTGCGAGATTTGACACTAAAAGGAAGTTGCTTAGCATCGCGTGTTATCGTGTGCTTGTGCTTGGGCTATGTTGTATTGGAGTGGCTCGAGCTTTGTGTTAGGTGATGCTTGACAATGCAGTGGGCTACGTGGGCTTGCACTTGTGAAATTTTGTAATTCTTACAAGTTTGCATGTGAAAGTGGTAAACTCATACCACCACCTCCCCACGTGCCAAATTGTAGCCTTACTTGGCATGGCATGTATGTGTCGGTTGTGGGAGCAAATTTCCTCCCACGAGAATATTCCATTGAAAGATTCCCCTTTCTTCTTCGCCGCCTCTTTCTCCCTGCAAAATAAATTGGATAAGAAGACCACACCCGGGGGGTGT